CCGATACAAATTACAGTAGTTCTATTAAATTCAAAAACTTTCTCTAATCAAAAAGTTACGTTCTTTACAAATTGCAATACTTTTTATTATAATAAAATAATTTTTCATTTAAATTTTTTAAAACAATTTATTCTCTTACTAACAATGTTACTTTCTCTTTTTTTCTTTTTCTCTGTCAGTTTTTATTTCCTGTTTTTATCTTTCTCCTTTACTCTCTCTTACATAAATCTATGTTTTACATGAGATACTAACATTCCATCGATATGAACTAGCTCAATAAAGATCATGATCAAGGATTGTGATACAACAACTCCTAAAGTTTGACTTTACATTCTCAAAGGTTTGAATATTGACAAAAATTATTCGAACAATTTGAATATTCAGATTTTTTTTTGTCCTCTATATTGAAGAAAAAACAACTTATTAATGAATCCTAGTTTGAAATTTCTGTAATAGAATTTTGTTTTATACTTGATTTCGTTTTAAAACTTTATCAAATACAAGCGTAGTACATAACATTTTTTTTGAACATACAATAGAAACGTATGCTCTAATTGATTGAACTTCAAATATAATGATAAACTTTCATAAACGTTGTAAAACTGTTGTTGTTTTTTGTTTCAAAAACATATGATCAGTCAGAATTGTTATCTATTCTGAAAAATTTGCCGTTTTGTCGGTTGAATCGAATGTGCTTTGTTGTAAATATGAACAGAATGGTTTATTCTAGTAGAAATTTTATTGTGTGACAGTGATGGGTTTGGTTCGTATTATTTTTTTTTAAACTGAACTGAATCTAGTTAAAAATTCCCAAAATTTACTATTACTTCATGAAGATATTAGTCGTAAACTACCTCAATAAGAAAAATTTTTATACATAATGATATTACAAATGAATCAAATTGCATCCAGTTATATATATTCTACTTTTGAGACAGTTAAAAAACGATTTCAACCTTTAACTTTGGATTTGTAAAATATTTTTCTAAATTATAATTTATTGCCGTATATGTGTCTAGACATCAGCCTTTGCAATGATTAAACAATCATATAAAGCATGAAAAGAAAAGAAGAGAGACCCTAGAATGACATAAGAAAAGAAAGAGCAGACAGTCCATAGAATGACATAACAAAAAGAAGAACAGAAAAAAAGAAAGAAAAATCAAGCATATAAAAGATGTTCCATAATTAACTGAAGATAAATTGTTAATGATATTTTTCACACTTTTTCTTTGACATAGAGAGTTGAAATTTTTTATCACATATATATCTAATCAAGATATTTTATTTGTAAAAGTTTCAGTTCTCAAGCTAAAATTACTGACGAAATACATCGACAAGATTGAAATATATAAATTTGCGTATTTGATTTTTGCATTATTTTCACTGTCAAAATAAAATTCAAAAACTGAATGCGAAAATTTATATATTTCAATTTTGTCGATGTAATTATTTCATCAGTAGTTATAGATAGAGGACTAAAACTTTCACAAATAAAATACCTTGATTAGATATATATGCGATAAAAATTTCAACACTCTATGTGAAGAAAAAGTATGATAGAAAAACAAAAATCCAATACATAAGCCTAATCATAGAGAAAATGAGAAGAAGCGAAGCGTATCATGATAGAAAAAAATTTTATGATCACATGGAAATAATCAGATGCAGAGCGTAATAGAAATCATTCCATACAGAACTTGTTACTTTGAAAATGATTATTTTTTTGTTTTTCAAATTAAAATTTTCATGTTTACAGGATTAATACGTGGTTCAATTGTTTAACTAAGATGTCGTATTGTTTTTTGCAGACTTTTATTGATTTATATAGAGTAGTCCTCACCAAGTTCAATGTTATATACAGAATATTTTAGATCAATTGAGAAAATTCTCTATCCTGTGTCTATTGAAACTCAAATGTTTTGTTTTTCATTCTATGATTTCATAGATATAGATATAGTATTTAAACATTTGTAAATTTCTTTGAATACATTATGAAAAATTATTCTTCTCAGTTATATATTATTTCTAAAGAATTTATTGTCATAATATCAAAAATAGAAACTGCTACTGAACGAATTAACTTCAACATATATTTTCAACAATACAAACTATTCGATTATTTATACCAATAAACAGTCAACAAATAAATCTAAAAGAAACGCTTGCACAGTTTTTAGTTACATTTAGTTTTCATAAATATCTTCTTCAACTGTAAAATATGCATTGAGACACACAGACATGTAAGGACATGTTATTGCATAACTCAAATTTCAATGGTATTTACATTAAAACTAATCACTCTATCTGTCATTTTCTCTCGTTACAGTTGACAAAATACCAATACTCTAGGTTTGATGTAAACAAAAAAAATTCGTTTGATGAGTACAGATAACATTTTTGTAGGGTCATACATTGTGTATCAAATCAATAAAAAGTCAGATTATAGGTTATTATAATATTTTCAATCACGTTGGATTGTATGAAACATGAAATGAGAATATGTTTCAAAAACATAGATATGAAATCAAAAACTTAAACCTGAGAAGTAATGTGCATGAATGACATCATTAATCTTATCTATGTAATAATTTTACTATTTCTTATGATATAACATTAACAGTAGATTATACGATAATTTCTCATTATCTTCAAACTAAATCGATCTCGTCTCTGTTTTGACTGATTTATATTTTGATGTTATTTGTTGACGACTTTAATTTCGTTTTAGTTCAAAACAAAAGACAATATAAAGACATATATTCGTCAAATTACTCATAGAACATGAAAAAGAAATGTCAAATAAGCTCTTTTCATATTGTTTTCCTTTCAATCGCATCAACATGAATACGATTATAAATATCTAGAGGATTAAATAGCCATATTATCATTCTTCTAACACGTACAATATTATCGACAACGAAGGACAACATGTTTTTTAGTATCAGATATCATATGTAGTTTATTTGCATAGGTCAAGTAATGTAAATATCGTATTTTCTAATTGATCAAACATATAGACAATTTTATTCATTCATTCATTCATTCAACAGAAAGTTTTTGAAGATAATGACAATGCTGTTTCTCGTGATCGTTTTTAGTGTATTGACTATGTGTACTATGCAAAGTACATTATCTAATAGTACTGTTCGGCTTTATGATTCATTTGCTGAAATTCGTCAAATATACAATGGACCACTTCGTTTTCGACAGATTGATTGGGATAATATCAAACATGAAAGTATAATACTACAAACACCATCCGCAAGTAACAATATTACAATGTTTTTCGAACGTCGAATCGTTCGAATTAATGTTAATATGACAGGTTTGCAATTAACTATAGATAATTTTCAATATGATTTTTGTTTTATTTTTATAAATTTTATTTATTTTCAGGTAAAAAAATCTTTGTACGAAAATATTCGGAACAAAAACCTTCTATACCTTGTGAATTAATTAAACATGATAATGAATATTCAATTGTACGTGAAATAGAAACAGGACATTATTTTCGTATTCAATCTGATCTTATTGAATATTCTTCTGAACCTCAATTAAGTCCAATCTATGAAGTTTCTTTTTATCCAGTACCAACAAATCTTTCTTTAATTGTTACTTATATTGTTAGTAGTCTTCGATGGAATACTCGTTATACATTACAAACATTTTCTAATGGTCAAATAAAATTTCAAATTTTAGCTGATATTATTAATTTAAGTCCATTAAATTATTATTTTAATTTAACTCATTTGATGGCAGGTAATATTAATCTTGCATTTGGATCTAGTAAAAGTTCATCATTAATTGCTACAACTATTTTATCACAAAATAATATTGATTATAGTGGTATTCATTTATTTTCTCTTATTAATAATTCATTAAAAATTGAACCTTATTCAATTTTAACTTTACCTATTCTTTTACCAAATATTAATATAAAAGTTTATTTTACTTATAATCTTATTTTAACTATACCATCACCAATAACAAATAGTATTACATCAATTATATCTGGTAAACATAAATTTCAACCTCTTTATCAATTATCAAATAGTTCTTCATTTCTACCAACTGGTCAACTTCTTGTTTATGATTCAACATCGAATGTACTTACAGATGAATGGCATTTACCAACATTAGCTGAATTAGAAAAATATGAATTTGAATTAGGACAAGATTCTGATATTATGTTTGTATACAATCGTACATTAACAATTAATCGAACAACAAATTCATCATTAATAACAACTAATGTTTTAATACAAAATTTTAAACAACGAAAAGTTAATATTCGATTTAAATCTATGTGTCATTTATCAATGATATGTTTATTTTATGATAGTAAAGCACGTTCTCTTGGGTCACGCCTACGTTATGATCTTATTCTTGAAGCTAAATCTGAAATAGCATTTACATTTACTACTGTCAGACTATCCTGAAAAAACAAAACAACAAAAGAAAAAAACTTTTACATATAACTATTGTAATAATTCATTACAAAAAACTGCCTGTAATTACATATTGTGCTTACTAGCGGAAAAAAAAGAGAAAGATGTAAAAATAACTCAATAAACAATATCACTAGAAAATATAAAAAAAAAGAAAGAAAATAATATATTCATAAAGAGAGAAACAAAAAGAGAAGGTATTATCGACAAAAAAGGTACAATAACAGTGTTCTCTTAAAAAACGTGCGCATTCATAGTCAACTATAAATCACCTTCACATACGACTTTTAGGTAACAAAAAAAAAAAGGTAAGCGAATACATGGACGAGTAATGTAAACAAAAATAAAAAAACCAACTAGTACAGGTATCTGCGCATCTATCTCCTCCTATCGGCAGACGATAGAGAAAAGAAGAAGAGAGCGAAATGCAAGCGTCCGTATAAGACTAGTCGGATACACATAAGTATTATCACGAGGGACAACAAGACGTCAGAAAAATATATTATTCATCAAAAGTAACATATTACAAATATAAGATTATTGTTGAAGATGGAAAACATTAGTACCACTACTACAACAGAACAAAATGAATGTTTCCTAACTGATGAAGAAATTAAGAAATCTTACAATTTGTCACTTCATATCGTATCCATTTTTGTACTATTAGTTGTTTCATTTTTTGGTGCTTCCCTTTCGGTTGCATCAGCACGAGTTAAATCTTTATATATTAATCCAATTATTATCAATACAGGAAAATTTTTTGGTAGTGGGTAAGTTCAAGAAAAAAAAAAAATTTTTTACAATTTTGTTTTAGTTTCTTATCTATTTTATTATCTTAGAGTTGTATTAGCAACAGGTTTTATTCATATATTACCCGATGCAATGGAAACTTTGACTGATCCTTGTTTACCTGAGTCTTGGAATGTATATGGTGCTTATGCTGGTCTTTTTGCTATGTTAGCTGTTCTTATTATGCAATTAATTGAATTCTTAGCTCATCAACGATTACGTTCAATGATACATGGACATGCTCATGTAACAATAAAGGATGATGCCAATGAAATAACGAAACAAGAATATGGAGATAATAAAACAGCCGAATTTACAGAGATGGAACAAACTACTAATGAAATTGTTGAACCTGTATCTATGGAAAACGTAAATAATAAGATAAAAAAGCCTCGAAAGAAAAAATGTATGAATGATAAAGTTTATGATATTGAAAATATACAAGAAATCAATATTAAAGCAGAAGAACCTGAAAATGTAGAACAAATTATTGAAAATATTGAAAAACCTAACAAGAAGAAAAAAAAGCATAATCATAATGATGAATCTACAACCATAGAAAAAGTTCCTAGTAACACTGAAGTATCAGCACATAACAATCAAAATGATTGCATAGTAATTGAAATACCATCCGTCGAATTTGAACTTCCATCAATAGAACATTGTGAACCATCATCAGGACATTGTCATGGTGCAATTTTTCAAGATGAAGGTGAAGAAAATAAAATAAGTGCTTATTTACTTGAATTTGGCATAGCTCTTCATTCGATTCTTATTGGTTTAACATTGGGTACCACAACTGAATCATTCGTTCCTCTATTCATTGCACTTTGTTTCCATCAATTTTTTGAAGCAATTGCTCTTGGTGCACAAATTGCTCGTTCAAAGAAAATTTCCATTAAATCAGCGTTGTTTATGATTATTTTTTTTTCATTTACAACACCTGTTGGCATTGGTATTGGTATTGGTATTCATTCTGGTACATACAATCCAAAATCAGTTTCTTCATTACTTGTTACTGGTATCTTAGATTCATTCGCAGCTGGAATTCTTATTTATGTAGCTATAGTCAATTTAATTACAGCTGAAATGGGTCCTCATGCAACTGAATTTCATTTATTACGTAATAGATTAAAATTATTATATTTTGTAGCATTATATCTAGGTGTTACAGCTATGGCTATTATTGGCCGATGGGCTTAAAAATATAAATGTAAATTTATAAGAATTTGAACTGTTTTTTTTTATCTATTTCAAGGTGAAGTTTCTTTTAGTTTGTTAATTTTGTTTAGTTTTTTTTCCTATTGTTTTTAATCGAATACTGTTAAGTATATGAATTTTTCGATCAAGGTTCATTTTATTTAAAATAAAAATAGAAATAATAAAATGTAATAGATCAATGTTTTTCTTTTGTTTTTCAAGGTCGTAATTGTTTTCCAATAAGATGCATTTCATCAGCTTGAATTAATTGTGGTATTAGATTTTTTTTCAAAGGTTTTTTTTCAGTATTAATATTTCTATTTTCTTCGATTTCTTCTAAACCATTGGTTAATATTCGAAATGGTATTGTATAACCAGGTGATTCAATTGATTTACCAACAATAAGTTGTCGACGTGTATCACCTTGATATGATATAGCAAGACGAATATTAACAGAATATGACCAAGCTTTACCAAGAGCAACACTCATATAAAAATCATTTCCTATATTTTTATTTGTAGTTAATGATAAATGTTCATCAGATTTTTCTGTTAAAACATTTGAACGACGTTTTGTTGTAACTTGATTTGTCACTGAAGCAAAATAAATATTAACTCATATATAAAAACAAAGCTGTTAGAGCATTCTCTGTGAAAGTAAAATATGAAACACAATGTAATTGTTCTTGCTAATCAATGAAAAATTGTTTTATTCTATCTATTTTGAAACACATTTCTTCATCATACTCTTCAGAAATTCCATAAGAAAATAGTTCATAGATTAGAACGAGACGTTATTAATATACAATCTGTGATAATTTATTGCTAAGATGTCTGTAGGGACGGTAGATGTTCAAATTTCTGCTCCCGTACTTCACCACTCCTTTTAAATCATATTTTATAAAAAAAAACTCATTAGAATTTATATATTCTTTTTTTAATGTTACCTAAAACAAGAAGATTATATCGTGTAGCAAGTCGTTTAGCACAATCAGTAAATAATAATAGAGTATTATCTCGATTATAACCAATAGTAGACATTCTTAATGGAGCAGCAATTGAATCAATAATTAATAAAATAGGACATTGATCTATTGTATTATTTTTAAATTCATCTTCTAATTCATTTTCAATTTGTGTTAATATATTCATTAATGAATCCGAATCAAAAATAGTTTCTGTACGAACAAGTTCAAGTAAATGTTCTTGTTTACTATTAAAATCACTAATCATATTTAAAAGACGATCAGATGAAAATGTATGTTCAGTATCAATATAAATTGAACGTAAACCCATTAAACAACATTGAGCAGTAAGATGAAGACAAAATTGTGTTTTACCACTACCTATTTATTTCAAAAGAAATCGAAACAAAAAGAAAATACACCTAATGGATGCATCGAAATTTTTTCGAACAAAATGTTTCTTCATTTTTCGATCGATTAAAATAAGATCAACAGAAAGTATTAAATATTTAGTTAGAATTAGAATTAGAATTTCATGTTCTTTCCAAATCAATGTTCAGAATTTTTGTGAATATCATAGGTCAAAAGTTATGAGCAAATCTTTTGAATTTCTGAATAATAGACTTTCTTATCAGTAGTGATGTCTCTTTTTTCATACGTTCTATTAGCGATTTTTTTCACAGCATTATAGTCGACACTGTCTCTTCTACAAAGTCAAACAAGAATTGAGAATCTTACAGCTATCAACCAGAAGCAACTGAGAGACAAGCCTTATAGAAACCTGATGATCAGGAGGATATCAATTAGTAGAGAAATGTTTGCTCTTTCTATATCCTTGACGTTCTATTAAGTACCGACAACCATTCAAACTGTATTTTCACGCTTTTCAAAGATTTGCTTATAACTTCTGACCTATGAGTTTCACAAAAATTCTAAACATAGATTCGGAAATAAAACTTTCAGTGCATCCATTATTCGTTCTATTTATTATCTACCCCATGATCCACATAATTCAATAAGTAAACCACGTCGTAGACCACCATTGAGATAATGATTAAGTGTTGGTAATGTTGTTGGAATATATAATGATGATGTTTCTATTAACATATCATAGACATTTTTTGATTGTATTGACAATATTGAAAATAATTTTTCAAGAATTTCTTCAGCATTAAAAATTGATAAACGAAATTTAAATGAAAGTTCAAGTGATGTATATGCTGATAGATCTATTAAATTTTTAATTCCAGCACGTTCAAAACGTTCAAGTAGATGATTATCAATAAGATTTAATGAAGTAAAATATGGAGATGTAAATGAAATAAATGACATGAATTCTTTTATTTTTGTTTTTATGTTTTGTTGATGAATCGAACAAAAAAAAAGTTGTTTTACATGAAATTTTTTTTGTCGTATATAAGTTATATCTAGAAAATTATTCTATTCGATGAAAAAAATATTTCAAATTTAATTAAGCTAATAGGGAATATTTGTAGGTATTGTTCTTTGTTTCTTTTTTGGCTAAAAGCATATCAAATAGTATGTCCTGAGATTATTTTGAAATTTAATTGATTTTAGAACATTGAAGAAAATAGTGAGTATACATATTACGTCAAAGCTTCGGGCCTTCCCCCATATAGCCAGCAGGTGTAATTAATCATTGTCATACTACCGTCATTTGTAATTACGCAAACAAAAATAAGAGGTTTGCATAGCGAATAACATTGGCTTGAATGTTTAGATAAAAAGGAGGAATAAACAAACGAAAGAATGTAGAATCCAGGTATTAAGGTGTATACTACAAATAGTAAGAAAACGTTTAATGTATGAATATGCATGTGAATTCCACATTTCAATCGTAGAGGAGCTGCCTTCACAAGCTTTTTTTGAATATTTCTATTTGTAGGGTTCTTTCTTGGAATGTTAACATTGTTACGTGTTTTTAAGAGATTAATTATATCATTAAACAATATAGTTAGAAATTCTCGAAATAAAAGAAAAAGTCACATACAATAATATTTTTATATTTATACAATCTCAGATTTTGTCAAATCAAACTATGATAAATAAATTTATTATGTACATACTTAAGAAATTTTTATTTTTTAATTTTTGAATATCAAAAATCTAATTGATTAATATCGAAAACTGATTAATTCTAATACTCATTTAGTCGATTTAGTGTTGAGTCAACCACGACAGTAACTTAAATAAGTGCTAATTATGACATCGGTATAGTTAAACTTGGGCAAAGTCATTTCAATCTCGAAATCCAGAATGAGCCATTCGTCTTAAATAACATTAAAAAAAAAGGAATTTATTGTTAGTTTAATTTTTTTACAGCTTTTCGCAGTTATGTTGTTGTTGTTGTACCTACATAAATCTGGAAATCTACTAGCCGTGGATTATTTTTTTGAAAAATGAGTCATCTCTAGAGATATTTTATGATTACACACCTGTAAATGTAGCTATTTTCAGATTGAAATGAGGTCTTTCAGTTCCAGGATCGAGTTAGAATAGTTGGTCGTCATTTTCTTTTGATAACATCGAATCATTAGTTCTGATTTCGACTCGAAATCATCCATTTCTATTGCTAAAGCCTCGTCCAAATGGAAGATCATAATAATAACTACAGATTCCGATCTTTTATCCATAAGAAACCATTTCAAAAACAACCATGCAAATGCTTTTTGACTGACTATCAGTTCTAATAAAATTTAAACCATGAAAATCGTGTTCTTTTATGAGTTTATATCGAAAATAAAATAACTCTAGAAACACCACTTTTCATGTTACTCACCACGAATGAGTCAAAAATGACTCAAGTTGTTATGAAAAATGTTACTTTCACATCTGTAGAAAAAAAAAATGTTTTTAAAAATCCCTCTGAAAATAGATTATACTGATAGTAGTATATATATTTATCTTATCGACATCAGAATAATCAATCTATGTAAATAAAAAAAAACAGATTTTTTCACTTTTTACTTATAGAATTTAGGCGAGGAATGATGAAAGGAAGTTTCATTTTTTTTTTCGACTTAATAGTTTATGAAAGGCTCTAGACAATATTCTGGAACTATCTTGATCTAATGCTTTAATATTCCAAATCGATAGTTTCTATGATTGATTCAAAAAATGACTCAATAGGAGATAAAATTTTAATTAGAAATTAAATAGAAGAATCAATACTGAACTTGTATTTTCCCTAAAAATTTCTTCTATATTTATTTAGTATCAATATAAATTATTTAAATTTTATCAATACAACTAATCGTTGTATTTATATATTTCTATTTCTTTTGCTTGTTTATGTTTGTTGTTTTTTTTTGCTTTTACTATTTACTAAAATAACATTAACAATAAGTATTTATTAACGATTTGAAATCTTTAAGTGTTGTTCGTTTTAATGGTGTCCCTTTTAATGATTGTGATGTTGCTGAATCAATTCGGACTTCAACATAATCACCCGGTTGTAATATTTCATTACTATTAAATAATTGTTTAGAAAATATTACTTTTGTATTATAATCATTTCTTCCAGCAATTTCATGATCTGGTGAACGTTTACTTGGTCCTTCAACAAGACATAATTGTATTTGACCTATATATGATTGATTAATTAAATGTGCATGATGTCGAAATAATTCATGAATTTCTAAATGTCGTCGAGTTTTTATATCAAATGAAATATCATCATTTAAATGATAATGTGCTTTAGTTTTTTCACGCATTGAATATGGAAATGAATATATAAAATTATATCGTACACGATTAATAACATCAAGTGTATCATGATGATCATCTTCAGTTTCACTACAAAAACCAGCAATAAAATCAGATGATAATGCTATATTAGGTATTATTGAACGAATATGTTCGACTAATGATAAATAAGATTCTTTAGTATAACCACGACGCATTAATTCTAATATATAAAATTAATATAGATTTAAATATTTCGAATAAAGAAACAAAAACAAATTTAGACATACCAAGCATACGTGTACTACCACTTTGACATGGTAGATGTATTGATTTACAAATGTTTGAACGATCATGCATTATCTAAAATAAAGAACAAAATAATAAGAGAAGAAAAATATAAAAAGAAAAATATTAATCTAACAAACATATAATAAATCATCGGGAAAATCTTTTGGATGTGGTGATGTAAAACGTATACGAAGTTCAGATGAAATATTTGATGCTTGATCAAGTAGAGTTGCAAAACGAATAGAACCTAAAAATTTGAAATAAGATTATTTAAATAATTATTTAAGCTAAAAATAAAATAAAATACCTTTTGCAAGATTTGTTTTATAATTTTCTCGAAATCCTCTTGATAATGTTTTTGTTGTATGTAATGATATATTCATTTCAGAATTATCACAATAACTATTAACATTTTGTCCAAGTAAAGTTACATCTTTTTAAAATAATTTAACGATTCAAAAAGAAAAAGACGTATGTTTTACCTTTTATTCCAAGATCGACTAGATAACGAAGTTCATCAAGAATACTTGTCATAGGTCTATGAAATGAAAACAATTTGACATTTTTTTTCTATTCGAACGACAATCAATCGAATATAGGAAATAATAATTTTTAATTATTGAGAAAATTTCATTTATCTCGAATAAACACTAAGATTTATGGACATCTTATTTAAAAAAAAATCGAACTATTTATTAACATAGATGAGAAATAATCTAAACAATTATATGGACAATTATTTCCAGTGCTACCTGCAAATCCGTCATTGAATCAATACATACTATCAATAAGCATTATTTTGAAAACTGAAATACTAATCAATATATCAGGTGCGTCAAAATGATTACAACATCAAGTATTTTGAAAATATTTGAACAGAGACAAAGCCTATAATGTTCAATTTCGTTTTTAAAAAATGTGCTTTTCAAGTTTCTACAAGAATATTCATTGAATTGTTTTAATGATTTTTTTTTTTTATAAAGCTAAAACTTAAGCACTGTCTGATGGTCAAATGTCTTATTATTTTAAGAGAAACAAAAATGAAAATAATATTGTTTATTTTGAATATATTTTATCACCAACAAATCATAAAATCTTAAATCATATTTTTAAACATAAATCGTGGAATTCTCTAATATTTTTGTATGAAACGTTCCTTAGAATGATGCTGATGGATTTTTTAAATGACAAAAGGATGTCGAACACTCACATCCACAGCCCAGTAGTACGTCTTAATGAAAATACATACTGCTCAGCACTCCGGAATGTAGCGACTAATTACCAAAATAAGGCTTATTATAGCAGTTAATGAGGTTAATTTAAGCCCGGAACGAAAATTCCGGCTTCTCTCATGGTTTTGATATTATTTCACTTCAACTTCTTTTTAAAAATAAAGTGTATCATGCAAAAATTTGTTTGAAATAAAAAAGAAGACATTATATTATTTTCATTTGTATTTCACTCAAAATAACGGGATATTCGACCATCAGACACGACTTTAGTTCTAGCCTTATAAGAAAATTATTAAAACCATTCTGTAGGATTTGTCTGTGCTGAAATACATACAAAATATTCGATGTTGTAATCATTTTGATTGATCCAATATTAGTCGAATATTTAAACAATTTGATAAAATTCTTTTCTTCTGTTTATTAAATACATATATATATATATATATCTATTCAATTATACTAACCTACTTCGTTCTCGTCCACGTGTAAATGGTACAATACAAAAAGTACACATATTATTACATCCACGCATAATTGATACAAATGCTCGTCGATTATTTGTATCAAATCGAAGTGGTGTTATATCAGCATATGTTTCGTCTAATGATAAAAGTGTATTAATACCTTTTTGATTAGACATTAAAAGTGTTTGATCAAGTAAATTTGGTAAAGATCGATATGCATCTGGACCACAAACAACATCAACAATTTTTTCACGTTCAATTAATTTTTCTTTTAAACGTTCAGCCATACAACCAAGTACACCTATTTGAAATGGTGGAGCATATGGTGAACGTATTCGTTTTTTATGTCCAAGTGATTGTAGTTTTTTCCAAATTTTTTTTTCAGCACCTTCACTATTTACATAAAGTTTTTTTTTTATTGTTCAAATAGGAAAAAAAAGAAAGAAGGAAAATCTATACACATACCGAATACTACATGTCATTAATCTAAAATAAAGATTAAATTATATAGTTATATATTTTGTAATTTCAATATTGTTTTCTTTAATATTTACAAAACAATATCAGCATCATCTTCATTATGAACACGTTCATAACCACCATGTTTATCCAAAAATGTATAAGCTATATCAGTATCATTTTCATTCATTTGACAACCATATACATCAAAATAAACACGTCGTTTTGGATGTTTCGATGGATCAAATGGTTCATAATCATCGATATTATTTTGTGTAAGATATGGTGGAAGAGTTGATTCATGTTGTATTTGATCAACTGTTTGTTCAATAAATGATTTTAATGAAGGACCTTGAGAAAGTTTTTCACGCCAAGCAGTAACTGATGACAAATATCGATAATGAGAAAATCGAGAAAACAATAATCGATGTAACATCTACAAAACAAACAAAAAATAAAATAAAATAAAATAAAAATCACAAATACAACAAAGAAGAAAATCATTTATTAATCTTTTGTTGGTGACATAGTTCGTGTTGCTAAAAATGTTTTTTCAAATTTTTTCACTTGAGTTTCAAGTGAACGTGAATATGCATCTAAATGCATTATAGTTGATTCTAAATTAGACATAGCATCTTCAATTTCATTTAATTGTGTATGAGTTGATAACATTTTTGTACCTTAAAATAAAAAATAAACAAATATATTTTTATTTAATAAATGAAAAATTCTAATCGAATATTTACAATTTGTATCATTCATTGTTCGAACTGAATTATTAACATGTTCTAATTTTCGACGCATTTGATTATATTTATCCAAGGCAGTAGTATTCATTTGACTCAAACAATCATAATCACTAGCCACCACTAGAAAGATAATGTTTAGAATAATAAATTGATTTTTGAAATTTAGTAAAAATTGTTTAATTATCAGAATGAAATACATTTTCTTAATCATTAGAATTCATCATGCCTCAATATTTGACAAAACAAAAAGATTTAATTACACACAAGAAACAAAAGCTTGACATTTATTTATTTAAAATCTGTGTTTGTTCTTAAAATAATTTCCATATATCCAATATACATTGATAAATTAATATAATT